GAGGGAGGCAGGGGGCGAGAGTCGCGCGTGACAAAGATAATTGCTCCCGTGTTAATTCTTGCCAAATGTATCGACGGCACGTCATAATTTAGCGAGTTAGCCTTGCGAGGAACAATTAACCCTTCATTTTACCAGCCTATTGTCTGTGTCTGTTAATCTCACACTTGTTTTACACAAATTTTTGTAGGCTAAAAGAGCTTTAAAACTGAAATATCTCTTAAATTATAAAATATTTATTCTCTTCTTTCGTCATTTCTTGTTCTGTCAAAATCCGTAAAAAATGTTATAAAATATTTTTAAAAATTTAGGAAATTTGAATTTCTTTTACGTAAAGTTTTATATTTTATATAAAACAAACTGATTTATGTGATGTTAATAAAAGATATTGATGAAATTCGTATGATTATCATGACCAACAAATGTAATGATGATTATACCAAAAATCGTAGAAGTTTTTAAACAATAGTTTTTCTTTTATATGATTAATGCTCATTGCTTATATAATCTGTCTATGTCGGTATCTGCTGATAGCTCTTATTGGGACACAGTGTTCGTAAAACGAATTCTAGAAGGTGTAGAATGCTTAGAACAGAGAAGAATTCACAACGGAGTCTGATGTCATGGATACATCGCCTCAAGCGATTAATCATCTCTCTCCATGGGGAAATGGCACCGACGAGGACACGCAGTTATTTAAGACGTAGCGATTTTTCTAAAACGCAAATTTGACACGCACTAATGATTCGCCGAGGGGTTGATCTGATCAGCCGACGTGACTCGCGAGGCACGTCAAATTGCAATCGTCCCGATCACTTTCATGCGCTTCTCGCGCGGCAAAACCGGTTTTCTTTCTCTCGAACCATTTTTATCAAAGACACGAATGATCGACACGAATAAACGGGCGATCCTCTAATTGCCCATTGAGAGAGCATTTCGTTCCCTTATCGGCGCTTATACATCAAGCTTGAATACATGATATCGAATGCACTAGGCAATCGCTATCTAATCCGGCAACTCCTCGCAAGGTAAACCGGGATTTTGCTGACTTTTATAATTGATACACCAGACGCTTCTTCATTCACTTGTTCTAAAAGCGGCTAGTAATAAATGAGATACCCACTTGCAGAATATGTAAATAGTTTGTACAATATATTATATAAGATATAGTATATGAGAAACTTAATCTTAAATAAATGAATTATTAATATTAATTTAATGCAATATAAAAATTTTATAAAATCAATTAAGTATTTAGTAACATTTTTGTATATAAAATGAAATGTATAAGAAAATTGACCACATATTGTAGAATGCAACAATCATTTACATATCAATGGCCATATCGTAATTTAATATTATGTACATAAATTACAAAAAGTAATGACTGCTTTTTATTTATTCTACGTATTTTAATTATAAAATTATAACTTCATAAAGTAAATTTGTAAAAGCGCGTGATTTATAATTAGATATATCCTATACAAGTACACACATACATACTATCATTGCTTATGTATAAAACCAGCGAAATTCCGGTTTTCATATATGTAAATAAATAGCCTAAGTCAGTTGCTGATAACACTCGATTATCTAGCGAGCATATCGTGCGGATCATCATACGCGTAAGAAATATCGCAACACGTTTATGTTCTGGTTTTAACCGGCGGTACTTCCCCCATATCTATTTTTTTTTCTTGCACCGACGATAATGTTCTATTCGACCTTGAGATCGGTTATAAGAAGCGAACTCGAAAACGATCAGATTCAGACTGAGAAGTTTACCGCAATGAAACGAATCCTGGAATTGCTCGTCCTCGCGACGATCCTGGCCGCATGTTCGGCTGAGTGCCGACCGGGCTTGCACGGACGTCAGAATTGTTACCATTGCGAAGATCTTACGAATCTACAGGTACACTATTTTATGTATTGTTTAGAATTTAAGTCTTTTCCTGAAACTTTTCTTCAAGAATAAAAAATCTGGACTTTGCAGTAAGCAATTTGATTTCAAATTGCTTACTGCAAAGTCCATTTAAATAATCGGGACGCTAAAGAAATTCACGACGGATTATTTTTCAATTATATAAAACGAATAATTATCAGTTTCAAAATAATTTTATGTAACATGGAGCCTATATTTTTTAAATTGTAAATTACGTCAATCATATCTCTATGTGCATCAAATTGCAGATACTCTCACAGTTACCCACGGGAGTAGTAGGCATTGATATTAGAAATTCGAACATCACAAAGATACCGACGGACGCATTCTCGGTGCATGGCGGTTCTCTGAAGGAACTCAACATCACCGGATCTTGCGTGGAGGAGATCGAACCCAACGCGTTTCGAGGTCTCGGCAAATTGCGCGTGCTGAGTCTGGTGGACAACAGAATTCGTAAACTGGACTCATTGTGGATTCAGGATTTGACGGCGCTCAAGGCGCTCATCGTGTGGCGCAACCGAATCGCCGAAGTCGACGCGCGATTATACGATTTGCTGCCGAATCTGGAGCTCTGGGACATCGCGCACAACGAGATGAACGCTTGTCTGCCCGCCGAGTCGCTGAAGAAGCTGACGAAACTGAGAAGAATCTATCTCGCTGGTAATCCATGGTCGTATCGATGCCGCCGCTCGATGACGTGGTACCTGGGCAGCAGTCACATCCGTTTCGTCCAGGACTGGGGTAGCAGCGATCTGCTAATCGAAGAATGCCTCGCCCACGAGCCGAACGCCGACGTCGACGACGACGCTTTACACAAATGCGTCGATCGCAAGATCGGCTCCATCGAGACGCTGCAAACTGTCGCCAGACTGAGTGAACAGATTCGAGAACTCTCAAGAAAAGTCACCGAATTGGAAATCGAAGTCGCCGCGTTGAAGAAAACCGGATATTAATTCATCAAAGCTTGCAATCTTTTTATCTGTTTATGAGAGAAATTGCGTTATATCAATACACAATGCAATCTTGCATTACGATAAATTTTGCCGTGGCATATAATATCAGCATGTAATATTCGATACTTTTTAAATCGAAATTAAATATCGTAGTGATCGTTTCCCGACTGCGATTGCGATTGTGAGCTGAAGTAAAATAACAGTTCAAATTTACAATGAAGCTTTGATAAATCGATAAAACCCACTTGTTCCAAATGCGATGCGAGCGCGACTTTGAAATTATATGACTTTTCAACAAGATACAAACGCTATATGATTGAATGTAAATTGTAGAAAAACTTTCGAAATTGAATATCAAATAAAATGTTGAAAATAAACGTTTCCATTTCTAAATTCTCGCGTGTAAGAGGCAATCGGTGATGCGCTCGAAACGATTGATACATTACACAGCGATGCACTCTGTAATAAGAATATCTATACTTTGATATTCAGTCGCATCGCATTTCCGTATCATTTATATAAACGTATGTCGAATGTCGAATAAGTTTTTTTTTAAAGGGTAAAGATTTTTCTTCGCACAATATATATATTTTTTTATATCTGACTGCAGCTACCCGAGAGCATAGTTCTTCACAATCTTAGTAATAAATCTTGCATGTGTCTATAAATCTTCTCTCTTTTCCCTCCTTTTCCGGTTAAAGCGAAAAGATTCGCAAAAATCGCTATACGCACTTTCGATCCGCGCAAGGCATTCGTGGATCACGGTAGCGTGTCGCTTGCGAGCGTATATTAAATCATCCCGCATCCGCGGAACTACGGTTCTCACCGCAACGAGACAAGAACGTTCCGGTTCAGCCGTCATTCATCAGTGTCGATCAAAAAATGCGTATCGCGCGCATGTATAGTAGATCGCATATCCGTTATACTCGCCTTCATAAGAGATCTTTAGGGCGGTTTCCGCGATCATTAATAATACCAAGACGGCAAGGTGAACGGGGAGAAAAAAACGAAAAGGGCGTCGGCGGGATGGAAGAAGACATGTACTGATCCGCAACGTAATTGTAAAACGAGAGTTTTGTTATAATGCATTTGTTGTTCATATGCCCATGCTAAACAACAAACAGATGTCTCGGTGTTAACGAGAGAGATTTGATACGAATATGTAGATTGCAAGATTCTTTAATAGATTTATTGTCTCAATGAATTCTAAGATTTGAACAGGAGACCGATCATGTCGCACTAAAGAGAATTGCGCCGACCGTGTATCTATAATGATTACGAAAAATAAAATAAACGGCAGATTTTTTTGAAAAATTGAATTCGATATAAAGATGATAACTCAAGATTATTTTGAAAAATCCCTAGAAGAGGATCATTGTCATATGAAGACGGTTTAGCTTATTTCATTCTATAATAAAAAAATGTGTTAAAAAAATTTGGTTTTTCATTGTAACAGGTGCAACATGTCACAAAATCATATTTCATACTGAGTAATACCTCATAATATAGAACATAAATATGCTTATGAATAGATAATTTGTTCAAAAATACGGATAATCGCGTAAAAATATAGAGATCCTTAAGTATTGCGGAACAACAATTTTATATTAGTTTTAGAATGTTTTTTTTTTTCTGGGGCTCGAGTAAAGGCTTTTTGTATATTCTGCTACTGTGTGCTCTAGAATCAAACAGCGAATGTTACTTTTCTTAGGCATCAGCCGATAATGGGATAAATCGGTTTATTCAGTCGTTTTACCGTGTGATCTATGACGGATTTCACGGTGATCGACGCGATTCGTAAAGTCGACGCGGTAGAACACACATACACATACGCACAGTAGCCATGTGGAAAGGACATTGTTCCACCTACTGTGCGCAAGGAAACTACCGGTTCTCCGTGATTTATGGAGAGGGTGCCCGCTGCTCGTGCTGCCGGCACCGCATCCTCGGGGTCCTCCTCTTCATCGTCGTCTTCGTCTTCGAACTCCGTCCTCGTCGCAGTTTCACCGTGAAGCATTCTCCGTATGCAGGGATTGCTCCAGTTCCCACGTGGCGAGGACTATGCTCCTCTCTATCTCCAATTCTCTCTCTCTCTCTCGCTGTCTGTTTGCCTCTCGGAGAGCGCTTCTCCCGCCCGCCCGCCAATGCGAGTCATACCGCACGCTACGCGCGGTTATCTATGCGCCGCGCTGCACATGCATGCCCTACTACGCACGCCGGTACCTACCGATGCTGCACGCGGTGCATTAACATCGCCGGCTGCAACCCGGAAATCCGAACGTAACACGAGCTCGATGAAGCCCCGCGTATCGCTGTACCGCTGTACGTACCGCCCGTTGATCTCGGCGAAAGCTCGGCGATGCAAGACCCCGCCAGATCTCCGAGATCTTCTCGGAATTAACAACGCTGACGCAACGATAGTTGTACGAATCGCACCCCGCTTGTATGCAAAGAGTGAAGAGTCGCAACATTTAAAAAAAAATGCAGAAAATAAAATATACACCCTCTCTCCGAGTGTCTCACAGCGAGTCTCGCGTTACACCGTATAACTGCAGCCGTCCTTTTCGTTCCAATACATCCTAACGCCAAAGCACAGGCTCTGAGTTTTTCAAGCTTTATTCCGCGGGCGGTTCTGCAAGCCATTGGCAGGATCGTCAAATCATCATCGTGCACGGAAGAGAACGTAAAAATCAAGAGACTCCGAAGCGGTACGTCGTCGATACGCCACGGCTCACCTGTCCGCTGAGCTTCGCCGCTTTTGTTCGACGAATAGAAAAAAAGATGGGGAGGAGGATGGCTGTGCCTAAGATGAAAGCACCGAGAGGCGAGCCTCGCAGCCGGCTGGAGCCCCGCCAAATAATATACCAGCGCCCTATCCACGCCCCCCCCTCGTACAACTACCTCTCTCTTCCTCCTTCTGACGAGGCAGCAGCAGCAGCAGCAGCCGTGTTACTATCGGCTATACGAATCCCGTTGGCCCGCCGGGGTACTTTTATATTTATTACGAGGACATGAGAGAAAAGGCGGGCGAGGGAGAGAGATTGCTAACCGAGACAGAAACGAAGGTAAAAGAGAGAAAAAGACGGATGACCGTTGTTGTTACGTGGCCATAGTCGAGGAGGAACCGGATGATTCTAGCCTATATTTCGGCTTTTGTCATACCGCGAAATGGTAAGCCTCTCCATCGTCGTCTTTCCCGTGAGCAAAGCTTACACCGGCTCTTTTACGCGTGTCGCGTCCCCCCCCCCTCCCCGGATTCCGACGTATACTTGCATTCCCATCTGTAACTGTCACCGACCGTGTGTCTACCCGTTGAGAAAGCGGTGCGAACGACTTACGGGTCAATGTCGAAATTGCCACGGTTGTCTTTGGCGTTCGTTCGGTTTATATCCCCGAAGAAGGTGTTTCTATATCTTCTTAGCAACGTTTATATTCTATTTATTAACGAAACGCGTGAAATAACAATAATAATGAACTATATAAAATATTCTGTATACACAGAATTACAACAACTTGTCGCTGTAATTATCATGCGATAATTTCGATTGCATATAAAGTACTGATAATATCACTGACAGGAACGTTAGTATTTGTATTCTATATTTTCCATAAAATTAGAAAAATAAGGGAGAAGCCACAGGATAGAAATCAGTTAAAATAAATCTTATTATCAAGTCATCTTATTATAATTTTTTCTAAAATTCAGATCGTCACATAGAAACATGACGCGGTATAACCGCTAATTTACAAACTCACAATCAGCTTTCTACTAATCTTCGTCGCAAATGTTTTTTCATGACAATCTGACAAACAGTTTATCCCTCCTACATTTTTTTACATTATGATTATATTATTATTATATAAATGCCTACATTTTTTAAAATTATGATTACATTATTATTATATAAATGCCAAGCACATATTATGACATATAATAATAATAATGTAACATATATACTTGTGTAATATGTTACAAACGGATATATTAATGACTATGATAAATGACAGTTTTTTTTAAGAAAAGAATAAACAAGGGACGCTCACTATTAAAACACGCGAACGAGAAGCTATATGGACGAATTTGGGAACGACGATTACGGCTTTTCGTAATCTCTCGCCGCTTTTTTTTCGCGTCATCCGCTCCCTTTTTCCGCCTTCGTGTAACGAAATGTAAAAAGAAGAGAGAGAGAGAGAGAGAAGGAGAGAAAGAAAGAGAAAAAAAGAGCGGGGAAGAAAGTAGTTCGCGGCGTGCACGAGCCGGCTCTCTCGCGTGTAGCCGAGTTAAACCGACGCGGCGGTGATTGATGACGCTTCGGTGTAACGATCGCCTCTGCACCCGCGAACGTGGCGCCGGGTTAGGCTCCACCGGGAGACACGAACGAGAGAGAAAGAGAGCCTGGGGGAGGGGGAGAGGGGGTTGGAAAGGGAGCGAGGGAGAGTGGAAGGGGGCGAGGCAAGTGAGACAGATGGACGTAGGAACGGACGAAGCCCCTCGTTATCCTCGATTTTACAGGAATTAAAGGGCCGATTACGCGCGCGACCGCCACACCCGCGATTAAGACGGGCGCGGATTAAAATCGTGCCGCTCGGTGATTTTACATCTGACCGTACGTCGCTCGCCGCGAGCCACCAGCGTAATTCATGCAGTTAACTTCAGGACATTAGGCTAACTCGAGATGATGTGCAATTAACATTGACGTCGCGTTCGATTATATTAGCGGATTTGACTATTAGCGTCTTTCGCTATACTTTTTTTATTTTTCCGTTATTTGTTTCGATTGTTAAAATTAATAAAAAAGCGAAAGCAAATGACAGAAACTAGATACGTTGTTTTGAAAATTTATATATAATTAATTTACCGAGTTTACACGTATTATATCAAAATTTCACTGTAATAGTAAAAATTTCAAAAATAGACTCTCCAAGTGAAATCGCAAAGACACTTATAATTAAAACCACTTATAATTAAAAATACACTTATTTCTCCAAAAAACATCAATTTAAAATAAATTGTATGGATTATATTATTATATATACCGCTATATAGATTCTTATATCAGGAAATCTGTATAAGGCACTTCTTTTATAATTCGTAAGATAGTAGTAAATTTATGGCGAAATTGAAAAATTTATCGACGAACGTCCAGTGAGAAAGAGAGACGGGGGGGGGGCGGAGGGGATGGACAGAACGGGCAAGAATTTCGACGGGCGAGAAATTTATCGCCCGTTCTACCGAATTCGCTGGAGAAGCCGTCATTCGGGCTGTTAACTGTCTCGTTGATAATGGGAACCGTCTGAAGACAGTCTGGTATATATATGTATATATATATATATACATACATATATATATATATAGAGGCAAGACAGTGACGGCTTCTCAGGAGAGGACACGACCGGGTCGCCAGTAACTAAAGCCATTAATCGCCCGCCATACTGCCTACCTCGTCCAGTCATCCCTCCTTGGCGGTTCCGCCACTCGTCTGAGCATCCACTTGCAGTATCCTCATCCCTATCGCTTTCTGTCCTCCCCCTCCACCCTCCCAACCACCTTCTCGTGCTCCAGCTCGCATTGAGTAGCAGCCACCGTGGGCCTTGAGCTCGTCAAGTCGCCAGCTTGGAAATTGCTTTCCTCATTTATAACCGGGCCACTGTCCGTCCCTTGTTCGCC